ATTTTGGTGGTCGCTAAAACTTGATTTTTTTTGTAGTGGATGGCAAATAAACTCGTATTCATAGGTAATACCCAAACTCGTCCTTGACAGGGAATACTTGATTTGGCCGGGTATAGGTACAGGTACGAGTAAAACCCGATATGTTAAAAATATTGTGTATTTTTTTTGTAAAAAAAAATAATAATAATTTTTTACGACTACGAGTACGGGTATACTTAATATCCACCAGGAATGAAAATTGGAATGAAAATTACATACCTAGCGGGTACAGGTACGTAGATGAATTTGAGTTGCAAGAACGGGAAAGGGTATCATAAAACTCGTACCTGAGTCGCTCCATTACTATCCCTATGAGTGAGGGACTGGGAGTAAGCAAGTGGGGGAGTGAGTGAGGGTCTGGGAGTGAGAGGGTCTGGGAGTGAGCGTGTGAGGGAACGAAATGATAAAAGAATTGGGGTGGGATTTTTTTTCACCTTTTTTTTTATTAAAACTGCCTCCACTCACACTAAATTGCCCCTAAGTGGGTTGCACTTAAAGCCAGTTGTCTTAACTGCTCTCAAAACTACTTCTAACAAGCTAATTAGTCATAAATAACATTAATTACAGATAAAATACATTATTATTACACTTATAATTATTATTCAGACTTTATCAAAATAAATTTATTATTATAATTTTTAAATTCATAATAAATACATTCATTAAAACAAATATATTAAATAATTATATATATTATAAAAAAAATTATTAATTAGATATTTTTATTATTTTGTCAAAACAAATTATTTTTGTCCATTTATGAAAAATATATGTTTTTTTATTTATTAAAATAATTTTATTCAAAATTTTCTTTTAGTCGCTCATAAGTATAATAACATTTGCAGTACTGATTCATCACTCTCATAAATATGGATAACAAGGTTTAAGCCATCTTACATATAAAATTAAATGGAAATGAATCAACAAGTTTCCCAAAAGAACCTCTTAAATCAGTTAAAAAGAAAAAGGTAACCCAATAAGCTGGTTGTAATGGCCAAAGTTGATTTAAAAATCAATTGCCTTAAATCTTTTTCCAATGTTTTGAGTAAAACATTGGTGGCGACTCCAAGAACCCTAATTTTTGCGAAAAAAAA